CCCCCAAAACCCCAAAACCCCAAAACCCCATTTTTAAGAAATTCATTGAATTTTATTACAAAAATTCTTGAAAAATGATAGATTTTGGAGGAGTTGACTCAAATAGAGATAGTGCTCAGCCAAGCGGATTTTCTACAGAAGGATTACATCAAGAATTTGTTGAAATGGGTGATTCTGAACCTGTTAAAATTTCTCTCAAAAATGGATATTGCAAATTTACAAGTAAATTCTACTTCCTTCTTATCTCCAAAAACCAGTCTAAAGTAGTTTTATAGATGAAGAAAAGATTCATATCATGAATAGCCTGCAGGAGAATTCTCATAAAGGTCTTCAGAAAGGCAAAAGATTTAATAAAGTAGATGCTGAATTCATGAGAAAGAATGCCCTGTTCTTCAAATAAGTTTAAAAAGAATAAATAAAAAATTGAAAGTCCAAGACTCTCAGGCTTTCTTAAATATCCTTTCTACTTCATATAAAGGCCAGAATTTAAGCAACTTTAATAATTATATCGAAGATCGGATAGTAAAGTCTCAAATTGAGAAAAGGAAGTTTCTGAATGCCAAAATTTGAGACAAATTTATACGAAAATAGCCAGAATAACCCAAATAAAGATGCCTTCAGAAGGTCTCATCAAGAGAGGACCTCGATTGATAAAAGCACTCTTGGGCCAACAAGTACTTCACCTTGATTACTTCCATAGCTACTGAGGACTTTCATCAGATGAGGCCTATCAGTGGAGCCAAAAGAGAAATAATCAAGGAGAATATCAATGTGATTGACACCTCGAAGAAATCTGACTTATGGAAATACAAAGATTTCAAATTCCCCAGTCCACTGCCAGATGGATGAAACAATGTGATCTCCTTCAGTGTGAATAAGAAGAAATAAAACTAAAGAGCTCACTCTTGATGATGTCTACCAGATATTCGGAATCAGGCCAAAGGACTCCACAGAGTCCTTTTATAACAGAATGAAGGGTTCCCAAAGCGTAATTGTAGATGAATCTGAGATGCTTTCGAAAAGGATTTTCAGGAATAGAAGAACTCCTATTGCCAAACCAGTGATGGATCATAATCTTATGAATGATTATAGAAGTAATCCAAAGACTTCCCATAGTGTAGTACAGAAAAGACGAGACACCTCCTTGAAACAGAATGGGTTTATCAACCAATTAGTCCCTCAAAAAGAGAAGAATGAAAAGGTGCCTGCTCTCACAAGTTCTCGAAAGAAGAGGAAAAAGGCAGCTACGACTATTATGGCAAGTCCTTGAAGAAGTAAATTTTCTGCCACTCTTAACAGTACATCATCTAAAAGGGGTTGGCCTAATAAAAGAAATACCTTAGGCTGAACCAATTTTGAAAGTATCTTCCACAAACTTAGGAAATGAAACATCTTCCGTGGTAATGGAATCACTCCTGTTGAAGCAAGGGAGATGTACTATCGTGACAAAAGAAAGGGGAGGGAAGACAGAAAGGCTTCGGTTCAAATCACTCGTGAAGATTTGAATCTGTCCCAAAATTTACTACAGCAGCCTAGAGGATCGACTCTGTTCATAGATACCTTGGATGGGTAAGATATCCTCTAAATGGCATTGTTTCAATATTGAATAATGTTCGAGGGGTTTTGGGGTTTTGGGGTTTTGGGGTTTTGGGG